TTTATCAAGAACATTGGTGATGGCGTTGAACATGAAAAGGACAATGATAATAATGATAACACTGATGATGATGATGAAGATGATGATGATGACGATGTTGATGATGATGATGATGGTGGTATTGATAATGATAATAATGACGTCATCCAGTAACACCAACGATGACGTCGATGAAGTGGTTGCTTTATAACCTTTCAACCATCTTCTTCATAGTATTTTTTCTGATATTTGTGAATCATTGATAAATTTTAAATAATAAACTTACAAATAAACCACTATAAACACATAACATCTTATTCAAAACTTGCCATAAATGTAATTTAGTGACATATATATAGACTAAAACATATTCATTTTATATAGTAATTGATCTATATGTATATTGAGTTTGATCAACAGTAAAATGAAGCTCCTTAAAATTATTTGTAAAAAAGTTTTAACGAAATTAACTTTTAATTTGTAAACACAAAAAGTTTTACTTTAATTAAACCCTGTGAAAAGGCAGAATTCCGGATTTATAATCGTCATGTCACTAATGTGCAGTGTGACAATCTTATTAATTGACACCAAATTATACAAGTTATCATTAATAAGCGTCTTCATCATTTTACTTTCCATTTCAAATACGAATGGTTATCTTCATCTTTGTTGATTCCTTTTAAAAAATAAATTTAAAAATTAATTATTAAAATATATTAATAATAAGTTTTATTTAAAATTTTAAAAGTAGTCTAGTTTAAAAATTTAAATTTAAAGGAAGATCTTGCTTGAATTTTCCATTTATTGTTTCAAATATTTATTTTAATAATATTTCCATATTCAATTATTTAATTTATTTTATATTTATCAATATTAATTTAATGTATACAGCCGTAAGGTTACAGATGAAAGTTGTCAAAGAGCCCATTACAACACAGTTATTTTTTTTATTCAGATATTCACTTCTAAATTTTCCTAAGGGCCTATCATTATATTATTATTATTGTCTTATTCACTCTACTGACATTCCTCAGAGGATTGTACTGTGGTTAAATGCCTAGTTGAACAAATAACTTTTTATTTAACTCTCTTCTGTAATCATTTTTAGAAACCTTTCCATACCTATACAATGTATATACATGTACTCATACAATGTATATTAAATACAAATACTTATACATACATACCAATAAGTTTGTTGTAAGCTATTTCTATACAACTATATTACAGAAATATTGCTAGTAAAAGAGCAACTTATTTTAGTCTTATCATTATTACAATTATAATTATCATTAATACTATCGATATAATTATATATTTATATAATAATTATAATAATACAAATAATTTTTTAGGAACCAAGTTTTCAACAGAGATTTCAACAATAGGATAAAGTCAACAGCACAACCTTCCAATGTTTCAGGACCTGAACATCTGCTACTGCTCAAAGATAAATGCTTCAATACTACTATTCATAAGTAAATAGAATACCCCTGATTGCTATACATTTTTAATTAATTAGTTAATTAATTTTTATTACTTAAAGATTTTAATAAAAACTACTATTATTCAATTTATTAATTATTTAGTTATTATTATTATATAATTTACTTTATTTATTCATTTATATATTATCAGTCAAATTCATTTCAATTTTTTACACTATAATATTCTCTTCTTGGGTATTCCATAATTTTGCACATTCCTAAATAATTTCACTAATTTTCCTAACAACAGTTACATGTATGTCCTGTGTCCATTCAAGAATGCCACTCAAGTTGAGCAGTCTTTAAAATGGAATGCTTACAAAGGAGTCATAGGGTAAATAATGATAATAATAACATTAACACTAATAATAACAGAAATTATTATGTCTGTCTGTGTGCGTGCGTGTCTGTATGTGTGCGTGTATGTGTGTGTTTGTATATTGTCATTGTGCGTGTATGGTTATCATTAATAAATTAATTAAAATAATAATTAATTTAATAATTAATTAAAATTTAAAAGTGTGTGGAAAGAATGGAAGATAGTTGAGAATACATTTGTAGAGATGCTGATGGATGGAGGAGATGAATGCGGGCCAGATAAAAGAAGAAAAACCCGGGTCATTCATTTTCTTTTTATAGCTATAATTGCGTCATAATCATGACGTCGTTTATTTATAATAGTTATTGTAACAATTGCAAGACACACACACACACAATAGTTATTGTAACAATTGCAAGACACACACACACACAATAGTTATTGTAACAATTGCAAGACACACACACACACATACGTGAACAAACATACAAATACAAACAAACTTATGACATGAAAATATGTTAACGTAATGTAACTTGATGACTCTTACTTGTACTGCAGGTCCAATTAGTGTGCCCAATCAATGATCATAACAATGACGTCAGCGACAATAACATCAAAAACAATAATAATAATAATTTCGAAGACGTCAACATAGATAAGATAACTGCAACGATAATAAACGTAACCGAACCGGCAAGATGCGAATATTTAATAATTCTCAGTACTTCACTAGTCTGCCATCCCAATTCTCTGAAAGTTTATCCATTCCTTTCTGATTGGCTGAAGTCAGAGTGGGAAGAGCTTGAGGGCAGATATGCAAATGAGGAGCTGACCAATCAGGTTGGAGGGATCTCTTTTTCCATTAGCATATTTGTATAATAGCGATCTCTAAATGTTCGTTCTTTCACAAAAATTTGAAAAAAAATATCAAAAAAGAAAATCCCAAAACGTTTGGTTAAAAATCTATCTGCAATTTGTTTGAAAAATTCTGACTGATGTTGCTTCTATTTGCCAGGGGTACAATCGTTACTTGAACGAAATTTTCATCAAAGCCAACTTCTTAGACGAAAAAGGAATTGAAAAAAACAATAATAACTATAATAACAACAATAATAACAACTACAACAGTAATAATAGTAATAAAAATAATGATGATGATGGCGATGATAGAGACGCCAGAAAAGGTTTTGAATCTTTGGAGAAGTGTAACAAGGTAGCTTTCCAATTGTTGTTATTATTATTATTGTTATTATTATTATTCTATATTTTAATTTCTTAGGAGTACAAGAAGTTACTGAACGAAAGAGGAAAAAAGATCCCATGATGTACAAAGAAAAAACATTAACACCGATAGATTTTTCCAAAACGGTTTCTTTCTTTCAACACAATATCGCCCGTGTATAATAACCATAATAATAAAATTATTATTATTACGGTTATTATTATTATTATGGTTGTTATTATTATGATTAGTTTACTGTCACTGAAGTAATGTACTAAGAATTAACTTACTTAACTGTATATAAACGCGAAACAAGCACAAACACACACACACAGACTGACATACAAGTGCCTATTTAACAACAATAATAATAACAATAACAACAATAATAATAGTAATATTATTATATTATTACTACAATTTTATTATAACTATTATAATATAATACGAATGCCTATGGAATTTTTATTATGATTGGCTGACAGAATACTTAAAGACGCTTGGCTATTAACAAGAGCAATAATAATAATAATAATTATTATTATTAAACAATAATAAATCAATAATGATTTTATATTTATCAAATAATTATAGAAATATGAAATATCATAGCTACAACAGAATATTCGTTGATTTGAATCAATCTACGATTTTTACCGTTGTTGTTATTGTTATTATTATTCGTACGACCATTATGACGTAACGACGACGTCATGGTAGCGATGTACAGCAGACCAATGAAATTATTTCCTCTAATTGGTTAGTACAACTAAGCGGGAAGTAACCGCAATGTTTTAGGTGAAAAAACCCGCCAATTTTAATTAGTAATAATAAACAATGATAATTAATTATAATATAATAATAACTATAATAATTAAATAATAATGATGATGATGAATAAATGTTAACAGAACAAAACCAATGAAATGAGCAAGACCCACCTCTACACGCAATAGAAAATTGAAGTCAGTTACGTGAGATCACACACACACACACGCACATACAAATACAAACACAAATACACACAAAGTACTACTATACCAACGCATACATACACATGTTTAAAAAACGAACAATATATATGATAAATTTTAAAAAACTATATGATACACAGCACTATGAGGACCAAAAGATTAACTCTTCCTTCATTCATCGATTGTTTTCTCTTTCTTTATATATAAATATATATATATGTTCATATTTATATATATACATACATATGTAAACGAATACGGTTATTTATATAAGATCTATATATATATAAACACATCATAATGTACTTGCAAACATATGATTACATAAAGACACCAGTCAAATAATAGAAAGAAAGAATGAATAATAATAATAATAAAATATAATAATAATAGTAATAAAATATAATAATAATATAATAATAATAAAATATAATAATAATAATGAAACGCAGTGACGAACGAGCACGACGACAGAACGAGCAATCAACGGCATAATGGATAAAGCACAAAGTTAATTTTAGAATTAGGAATTAGGGAGAGATGCCGTTGTTAGCCTGCTGCTGCTGCTGTTGCTGCTGTTGCTGCATGATGAGGCTGTGGTTGGGCACTACGTAGTCGCCGATCATGAGGTGGCTGCTGAGTTGAAATGTGCTGCTGGACAGGCCGGCCAGTCCCGTGTCCATGCTTACGCTGCTGTTCTCGACTGGTAGCGTTATGTTTGGGAAGAGCTGCGTGTGGCATTGGTTGGTTGGTTGGTAGCTAGGTAGATGAACTGATTGGTTTGTTTAGTGGTTGAATGGTTTGTTTAGCGATTGATTGGTGTGTTTAGTAGGTGATTGACTGACTGATTGATGTAGTGAATAGGAAAGTTAAACAACTGATTTTCCTGATCATCTTGCCTTATTGGCATACTTAAGTCATCAGTCTACGTGCTAATTTACAGAAACAAATTTGCATATTTTAAAATTTAGAACTCACCCTGGACGAAAATAGATTGGAATTCCCCAGGCTATTTATAGATACGGAATTATTATTGTTGTTGATGTTGTTCATCATTGACAGACGAGCATTTAAATTTGAGCCTATAGGTGTTATGGAAGCAGCTGGTATGGAGCCCGGATTGACGCAGGCTAAGTTGGCTGTGTAATTTGCATAATTTATACGAGTGTAATTAGCATATTTTTAATTATTCAAAACAGTAAAAAAATTATTTGTAATAATCGACTGTGCTAACTTTTTAAAAATAATCAACTGTGCTAACATGATAAAATTTACATTCTAATCAGTAAGAAATGCGTTGGTAAGATTTTTAATGAAGAACTCCTACTCCTTTGCAATAAAACGAACAAACACATCTGCCAACCAACCTATAGACAGATTATTACTAAGTAATATGGTGTTACCATCAACAACCAGATTGTTGCTGATGAGTTGAGGTAATAGATTTTGTTGTTGCTGCTGCTGCTGATGTTGATGTTGGGTTCTGATGTCACTTCCGTCGCCTGTCCCCGAATAACTATTGGCTAGTGGCGTTGGCATGATGGCTGATTGGTGCTCCATTGTTGTTATATCTATGGAGGAGGTAGTGAGTGATAATTAACATTAGTTGCTGAAGGTAGTCAACTATTCAATCAATTAACTATTCAATCAATTAATCAATAGGTCATTTGATTATATCATTCAATCAATCAATCTACTCCTCCGAATCAAACCAATTAACCATCAACCTCATACCTGGAAGTAATATAATTAGCCCCACCCTTACGGCCGTCGATCAATCAATCAAACCTAACCAGTTGTAGCATCAATTTGGTCGTAGTAGGCATCAGTCGGGCTGAGTTTGTTGAAGCCAGGCGGGGCCGTGATTGGCTGGCCCGTGTATCGAAAGCACGGGTTTTTGAGGTCTAGGGTGTTTCGAGAGATTTTATGTTGCTGCCCTTCAATGTACAGCTCTATGTCCACATCGTAACTTTGCCTGATTTGGTCAGTTAGCGATTGTAGTAAATAGTGGATGGAGGGATGAATAGACAGATGAGTGGATGGATGAATGTGATGGCAGGGAAAGTATTGGACAGATAATAAAAATCGTAATTATCAATTATTTTCATCTTTTCGTTTTCATCCCCATCATCATCATCATCATCCCCATCATCATCCTCAAACCTCATGTTAGACTTTAGATGTACCCTGCCGGCCAGTATCTGATCCTGCCTGGCGAAGATGGGCTGGAGGAGGAGGCATCGAACCTGGTACCAATGGGTCAGGGGTTGAGTCGGCCCAGTAGATAGCCATATTACTGACCTGTGCGTATGTGTGCGCGCGCGCGCGTGTGTGTCAAGTTACATAACAGACAAACGTTAGAATAACCGTAAAATAACAAAGTTGAAACATGAATAAGAACCATAACAAGTTTTCGTTCATGACAACAAGGACAACACAAACCTCCAACAACATAATTAAGCACACAAACAAACAACAAATACAGGGGAAAAAACACCACTAACTGAGATCCATTGAAAGCAACATCAAACCAGAAAGCAAGCCCATGGACCATGCCAGACTGTTGAACTTTGAACCTAACTGGGATGTCAACGTCATGCAGGTCAGATTCCTCACTGGCTAGAAAGTCGACGGTATGTTTGTGGGAGGGGGCCAGACATATTCGGTAGTCGAATGTGTCCTGTAGATGGCAGGTTTGTTCACGTGTTTGTGTAAGTGCATGAATGTGTGTATGCGTGTGTGTGTGTCTGATTCATGTATGTGTTTAAATTAAACACACAATAAGACACAGTAACAAGCAAACAAACAAGCAAACAAACAAACAAGCAAACAGCAGCCACATAAGGAAACTGACCACAACAGGCTGCTTGAAATATTCACTGAGGGCACCCTCTCTCAAACTGGACAGGTCAACACCATGGAAGGAGAACTGCTGCCTGGATAAATGCACAGAAAGTAAAGAGAAAATAAATTATTTAAAATTGAAAATTAACTAAATGAATAATGAAAAATAAATGAATATGAAAAAAATAAAACAAAATGGTAGAAACCCCAAGCCAAAACAAACAGCCCACCCTACAACAGCAACCAACCAGAAATTAGCCTTAGAAAATTGTTCCATATAGAGGCCCTCGTCACAGAAAGGGGTAATATGGAGATCCCCTTGCGATGGAAACATTTTACCCCCTGGCTTTAGCCACTTTTTCGCATGGAGGAAGGTCTCAAGCATTCGTTCATTAAACAGCATGTAACCCATTGGCTCTGATATTATCACGTCAACCTTTTCTTCCAACTCTATCTCTTCGATTTTCCCGGCCAGAACGATTATTTGATCGGCCATTAGATTGTTGTCAACTAGGCACTGTTTTGTTCGATCCGTGAAATGCATAGTTAGTTAGTGGATGGATTGATGGATCGATTAAATAGTTCATTTTCATTCATTCATTTAACTTTTTCAAAAGGTTAAAAAATTAACAACAGTTCAACACATTCAATTCTAAAAAGAATATATGATTCGGGCCAGAGATTTTAGCCAAAAAAATTCCCAACAAACACCAACATTACAAGAGTGGCATCACAAGCAATGACAACAATCACATCAACAAGCATGTCTATGAATTGAAGTACTAATCCCTAATTCCTAACTTGGCAGTGTTCAGCCATGTTGGACGCCTCCACGGCATAAACCTTTTTGGCACCTGCCTGTATGGCAAAGAATGACAGAATTCCTGAGCCGGCCCCTACATCTAGCACCACCTTGTGAAAGAATAAATTTATTTTTTATGAGTTGAATAGACAATTTTTAATTGGAATGAATAATAACCATCAACTTTTTGCTACTAATTTTGAATAATATGGATTTAGAACATAACTTAAACTAATCTCTAATCAACCTTATCCTGGAAATCTATGGAATTCTCGACTATGGCCCTTTGATAAGTTGAAGTCCTAATGAAGTCTTGCAGCATGTTCTGCTGTTGAGACAGGTAACCATAGAACTGGCATTGGGGGTGTTGAAATTAGGAACATTTCATCTATTAATTATAAGAATTATATTGAATGGACTAAACAAAGATAAAACAATTAATCTACCTGGAAATATTGTTCGCAAGATGTCGGGTCTGTTCTCTGGTTGAACACTGAATCCAACTTTTTTGATATGATATTTCTGAGAGATTTCTCAAACAATGCATTTTCTGATCACCCAAGTGTAATTTCATTTTTAGTTTAAACATTTTTATTTAAATAATTAATCACTTAAAACAAATAAATATTAGCATGAATTAGCATTAAAATACAACAAAATTGCATACCTCCATCATTTTGAAATTTGAAAAAGAATGAATCATTATTAGAGGAAAGTGACAGCACTAATCCTAATTTTCCAATGCAGGCCAGCTCTGCATCCTTATTCACTTCTATCGAATTGATGTTGTAATGTCCTATGTGGATATGAAAAACGTTTCTTATCTAACTAACCTAACTCACCAGTTTTTAATTAAAATTTCATAACAAAGAAAAAATTTTGAATGAATTGTGGCTTTTAAAATTTCAGAATAACATTTAAAAACCAGCATCTAGCTACAAACCTTTGTAAACTTCAAGTAATGCCCTGCAATTAATCGACGGCCGGATCTCTAACTTCACCGGAACGTCGGCCAGTTTCTTCATTAACCCAGTCTCCAGGAATAAACTAATTCTCACGCCATTAAAAATTGTCACGAGCGAATGAACACTATCGCCATTATTTAAATTCTCAGTTGAAGATTTCTTTTCAGACATTTTGAATTTAACTGTTTATAAATAATTAAAAAAAATCCAAGTCCGATTAATGAGAAATCAGTAAAAATAAATCAGAAACACACTCTCCATGATAACAACAAACAAGAAATTAGTTGATTTTGAACGCTCCAGCTAAAACAAAGAAACATTGTAGCATTGCAAAGGTAATTTTTAAAGTTCATATTTTATTAAAAGTTTTTAATTTTAACTAAATTAATTATTAGTAAATTTTAATGGCAAATTTTAATTTTAACAAATAATTTTTTTCACAAAAATTTACTCAATTTCTTTTTCTATAATTTACCATCTTTGCAGTTCAAATCAAAATTTTCATTTAAAAGTAAACGAGGGTAATTCAAAAATGTACAAATAATGAATTTGTTATTAGAATTTAATTAAGAACTAATTAAAAATCATTTCTGGTGCGTCGGTACTTTTATCAAGTTAGGATTATAAGTTTAATCATGCTCAAATCGTTAGATTATCAACTATTAACGGCAACTAAAGAAAAGAAAAATATTAGGCAAGAAAAGAAAACCATCATTTTATTAATAATTTAATTTTAATTATTTTATTTCTTCACAATTTATTTTAAATAATTTAAAAACGATTTATTTATTTGTTTAATAATCAATATTTCACTTGATAGCGTCATAGAATCCTTGTTAGAGCAAGGAGCCAATGCTAATTTTGTGGTTGTGGGGATGTGTCCTCTGCTGTGGGCGGCCGGCTACAATCAGCTTGAAACTTGTCGTCTGCTAGTCAAATATGGTGCCGACCCTAATTTAAGGTTATTAAACATTTCTATTAGAACAATTGTATTAGATAAAAATTTAGGAAATTATTTGTTGAATTATGATGGCATTTTAAATTTATTATTCAGTCCAAATGATGGTGACTCAACTCCGCTACTAACTGCTGCTTCGTTTGGCCACTGTGAGGTGTTGAGGTTGTTAGTCAAATCAGGAGGAGACCCTAATATCAGGGATTCTGATGGCCTCAATGCATTTTACTGGGTGTCGAAATCTAAATGTAAAAATTGTATCAAGTTCTTACAAGACTATCAACTTATGAGCAAAGGTTTCTATAATTTTTATTGTTGTTTAATATTATTATTTTTGTTAGTATTAAAAAATAATTTTTAAATAAATTATTTATGTGATTTTTAGTTTTAAATTTTTTAAGAAAACTTCAAAAAAGTTCATTTTTCTGAGTCGCTTGGTAGCATCACAGAGTCCTCCATGTCAAAAGTGAGTCGAGTTTTTTCTTTTTTTTTGGTCATAATTATCATTATATAAAATAAATATTTATATTATTTTATTTATACTTCAAATATAGAAAGATTTTTTCTCAATTTTCTCACTTTCTACATAAGATTCTCGTTTCATCTCCTCAGATATCAACAGTGTCAACAGATGATCAACAGCATAACATGCATCATAACAACAACACTAATAATAATAATGATAAAAATAATAATAATAATAATAGTATAAACAACCGCATCACCAATATATCACCAATCAAGTTTACTAAGACATCGAATACATTAAAACCAGATGGTAAAACTATCGGCCTAAGCCCACAGGAAATAGATCAGTTAAAAAGATTAATTTCTATAAATAGAAAAAAGATGAGTAATTGTCACAAGATTAAGAGTAATTTCAGTGATAATAATGCCAATGGTGATTATACTGGTGGCACAGTCGTTAAAAATTGCGTTGCTAATTATAAGAATGATGATCACAGCCAGGTTGAGAATGTTTCAGAAGATGGCAACACTGTTTCTAGGCACATTAAACTGCCATCTTTACAAAAAAATCTCGATGTATTCAACAGAGATGAAACAATGGGAGGGACAGCGAATAGAAAAAGATCTCTATCGAAAGATTCTATATTTTTAAAATTACAACAAAGACAAAACAGACATCATCTTTTGTTGCTACAGCAGCAGCAAAGACAGCAAAATATTTTGCAACAAAAACGAAATGGCGTCTGCCAGATTTCAACGAGTGGGTGTATTCCTTATTTGCCTCCTAAATCTCCTAAAAAAATATTCACAAAACCTTTATTTAATGTTGCTACTGCTTCTACTACTGCTACAGTCGCTACTTCTATTACTGTTACTGCTGCTGCTGCTAATACTAGAGCTACAAGTACTAATATAAATAGTTTTACTAATACTACAAACATTACTACTATCACCACTTTTAATACTAATCATGCTGCCATCGTTGGTGGCTCTAGTCAAAATTCACTCACGTTAAAAAACGCTGTCATCGCTACTACCTTTACCACAACTACTATTACTACTACTACTAATAATCATAATCATAATTATAATGTTAACGTCAACCAAAATGACAATAATAACAGGGCAGAGACTGACATTGACAGATACATATCTGATCACAATAAATATTTTAAACTGCCCCTCAATAATAATAATAATAACAACATTAACAATAATAATAACATTAATTACATTAATAAGGTTAATGATAATAAAGACGGCATATTTGAGAAGATAGTGTTCAGCAGTAATGCATACGTCCTCTCCGAATCAACATCTCTCTTCAGCGATGACGATGATGATGATCGTGGTGTTGATAATGATGCAAATAATAAAAACATTATTAATAATAAAAATAATAACAACGTCCTTAACAATAATAATATTAATAATAATTACAAATATGATGATGATGATCAGGATTGCGTGAATGTACTAAACAGCGCCTTTGAAAAATCAGTTACGTTAAATAGTAAAAGCGATAGTAACGGTGGCTGTGGTAGTAGCAGCAGCATCACTAGCGATTGTAGTAGTAGTTGGAGTAGTAGTAGTAGTAGTAGCAATAAGTGTAAAAGTAAACTTAACAGAGCGTACGTTGATGACTCTTCATCATTATCGTTCATCAGTGGTACTGATGATGATAGTTTAAGTAATAATAATAATAATAATAGTAAAATCAATAATAATAATAATCATAGAAATGAGGCAAACAGCGGCAATTATATCAAAAAGTTTGAGCTGAATCAGCAGTGCCAAAACAGAAAGAGCAAACACGACGATAAAAATAACAACATTAATAATTATAATTATGATAATAGTTCTAAAAATAAACTGGTAACCCCAAATAGTAGTTCTAAAAATAAACCGGAAACCCCGAACAAAGTCATAAATAGCCGCAACTTAGCCAGCAACATCCTAAACCAACCAATGACAGCTGATGTAGCCCTACAGATATCCATACCAAACGCAGACGAGCCATCCGATTGGTCATTTGAAGAGTTACTAGATCAAGTTCAGCGAATGACAGATCAGGAAATTAGGTCACGGCTTTTTGAATTCAGCGTCAACATCGGCCCCATTATAAATTCGACTCGTAAAGTAATTCAGGCGAAGTTAGCCAAGCTGATGTTTCTCAAACTGCACGGGATTTCCAACGATAACAATAATAATAATAATTTTGTCAAATGGTACACTTTCGGTCAGTAATATCCATCTATTTATTTCATTTTTTATTATTACGAACGTTGTTACATACATACCCACATACATACATACATGCAAACACATACATACATACATACTTAGATCCGTCACTGGAGCTGATATACATGTGTTGTGGCTGTAGTCAATCTCTGGATCATTCCTTGATGGATAGCCTAGAGCAGGATATGTCGAGGCCGTTTTTGAACCCAGGACCTTCGGCTAAGTGGAGGGCAGGAATCAAGAAATCCTGTTTTAATTACATCTTGGTTGATCCCAGAGTCTCGAAGAATATTCCAAAGAGAGTTAAAGTTATTGGTTAGTTGTTGGCTTTCTTTTGTCGTTTCTTCATTGATTGTTTGGGTGGGTTTATTCAATTTAAATTTTTCTCTGCAGGTCAAAAGAAAGCCTTCCTGATATTCATAGAGTCCATTTTCTATGTGGGCAAAGGCCAAAAAGCGAGACCTTATGAACACTTCAAAGAGGCGGCCAATCAAAGGTCGAAGTTCAATGCCAAGGTCATTTGATGTTTGTGATGTTTGTCTTGGTGTCTGTTTGGAAGCTGTCATTCCATTCATTGACTTTTTCTTTTATTAATTTTTTCTTCGTTCATTCGTTTGTTCATTCATTGGTTCATTCGTTTGCCTTTCTCTCTTCCTATCAACTTAGGTGACCAGTAAGAAGGTGGCGAAAATTCTTGAGATCTGGAGGTCGGATCGAGGCGTGGTTTCCTTGTGTGCCTTCCAAAATGCCATCCCAGTCGAGTCATTCACGAGGGAGGCCTGTATGATTGAAGCCATCGGTCGGCCACATATTTATATTTTTAAGTTTAATTGTGTGATAATTACATTTACTTCATCCATTTGTTCTCTTCAATCTTCCGTTCTTTCATCATTCTTGTTAGTCTTTTCGTTGTTTAAAATTTGATCAATTCTATTTTTAACACCGAATTAGGTCTCGAGAATCTGACCAATGTATGCAAGGGTCAAGTCTATGGTCCGGCTTCTAATTGGTCAAAAAGTCAAATTAAAAAATTAGGAGCCTGGCTACTGTGGAAATGTTTCCTAATCTTACTGAACGAAGGAGAGAGGCAGATTAGGTACAGAGATGTCGGCGATTAGATGTACCTTACCTTATTTTTAATCTTTTCTTGGGGGTACTTTTTGTAAATGAGTTTTTGTTTTAGTATTTTAAAAAAACTGTAGCAAGAGCGTGTGGTAGTAAATTATATCTATTCCAATATTGTGTGTGTGTGTGTGTGTGTGTGTGTGTGTGTGTGTGTGTGTGTGTGTGTGTGTGTGTGTGTGTGTGTGTGTGTGTGTGTCTAGAGATATTTATTTATATACTTATATAATTAACATAAAAAATTGTTTTGAATTTCTGATTTTTTTTTATTTTAAGATTTAATCGCAGCTTCTAGTGATGTAGTTTTATTCAATGTTAGATCCGTTTTAATGGTGTTGTTAAACCTTTTTTTTACCTTGTTTAAATTCCGATTTAACTTTTCTTTTTATAAGATTGTGTGTGCTGGCGTGTGTTTGTGCGTGCGTGTGTGTTATACATCCTACTTTTCCTATTTCTCTTATAATATCAAAAATATTTTAACTTTAATTCTTTTTATTTTAAAGTTTTTAAATTTTCTAACAAAATTTTTAAAAATTTGTTAATGGAAAAAAGATTTATGCGTGTCTTTCCAATGGATTAATGAAATTATAATTGAAAAAGAGTATTTAAAAACAACGTGTTTTTATGATCTCGGCATTTGAAAAAACTCCTACAAAGCGAGTCAATTGGATAATTGGGTTATTTAATGAGTTAACTGGCTGATAATGACTGGGGGAAGTCTTAATACGAAAAAATAATTAATTGAATTTGACGAATTAATTTAATGAAAAGGTAAATCAACTAAAATACACGGATTTTTTCGGATAGATGATCGGTTTTGTAGATCCGGATACCGGCTTACTACTGATAAGATCTCGTTTGTATCGATTGCCCATCACCGGTCCGACAGTCGGTAACCGAAGTGTCGTGGAATGTCGTTTACTCTTTTTCATTTTCTTCATCAGCTCCATCTGTCCGGTTACTCGAGAACTTTCGGAGGATGTGGAAGTCGAATCGGTTCGTTTCTCCTGCTCACTTGACATCAGAAATTCAGAGATGGGCACTCGTTTTTGACAGCTGGAACTGGATTTGCTAGAAGCTTTGGATAAGCTGGCCGATGACAAACTGGCCGCAGATTGTTGCAGTTTGGCTTTTTTTGTGATTCTTTTAGGCAGCTTTCTGTTGACTGTACTTTCTGATGTTGAAGAGTTGGCTCTGTTTCGTCTTACCATTGGTTTTTTGTGAAACTTTTTCTTTGAGAACCTTTTCGTCTTGACGCCTTGTGTTACCTGAATTATTGGCTTGTTGGATTCTTGGTTCTGTTGTTGTTGATCGTTTTGTTGTTGTCGCTGTATAAGTTGTGGCTGCTGTTGTTGAATTTGTGGCTGCTGTTGTTGAAGTTGTGGCTGCTGTTGTTGAAGTTGTGGCTGCGGTTGTTGAAGTTGTTGTGGTTGTTGGTAGGCATATGGTGGTTGAAATTGATATTGCGGCATTTGTAACTGAATTGGTTGTTGTTGCAACTGTTGCTGCAATTGTTGTTGCTGCAAGGTGATTTCATAAGAAGGTATGGATAGGTTTTGTGGTTGAAGGAAGTTTTGCATATGTAGCTGGTTATGTATCATGTTCTGGTACTGCTGATCAAACAGCTGCGCCTTTTTCTGCTGCTGCTGTTGAAGCTGATATTGATAATAAGGTAGCGATTGATTTTTATGTGGAGTTTGAAAATTCAACTTCGTAGTCGGTAACTCGCTTATATTCGGATTCGTCGCTATGCACACAGTCGGATTACCGAAAGCTTCTAACGTATTCAGCAATTTCTTATCAATGTCATTTTTTATGTGTTCTTTTTGGTCTTTGGATAAATGTTGAACTAAAAAATCAGAAATTGGCGACGAGAGGACAGAATTTTTGTCATCAACCTTACAACGAGGCGTTGAAGACACAGAGTTCCTTCTGTCAAAATTTTTCTCACGTCTCGGCGAAACTTTCGCGGCTGTGAACATGATGCAACTTTTCTCATTCTTCTGATCACCTTGAGAACCATGCATGTTAATTTGCTGAAACTTATTGCACAGAATTTCATTGGACGATTGGTTATGAAAGACTTGCTTGGGATAACTCTTGTGGTGGTCTTTACATGAGAGTTCGGAATGAACTGGGGAGGTACTTTTAAAACTGGCCGACCGAGATGGTGAATTTTTAGTTGGAGTCAAGCAGAAGGGTTTGGGAATGTTGGGGTTTGATTTTTCATTGTGTGAGGATGCTCTCTGCAGCTGTTGATGCTGCTGTTGTGACTTCTGTTGCTGCTCCTGCTTGTTGCTTTCGGTTTTGGTGTCTCTACTTATTGATTTGAGTATGGTTTGGTACAAGTCGTAGGTTAGTGGACTGTAACCTGTTCGGCATTGCTGGCCAATATAAATTCATTCATCATAATTAACATAATTAATATTAATTATGATAATTAATTAATTAATTAATTAATTTACTAGTTAATTACCCTGTCTGGTACTGGTACTGAATACTTTTTGTCATAGTATTGATACCAATCTATCACCTAAATTATAAAAAATTGAAATTATTTATATATATATATATTGTGTGTGTGAGAAAGAGAGAGAGAGAGAAAGAGAGAGAGAAAGAGAGAGAGAGAAAGCGAGAGAGATAGAGAGAGAGAGAGAGAGAGAGAGAGAGAGAGATAGTGTGTCTATTGAATAAAGGTGTTACTTCGTAAAAAGGGTGTTTAAAGATATCAACGGTCTTCATTGAGCCCGAACCTAATCTAAGGCACGGGTTGATCTTCGTTAACTAAGTCGTAGGACAATAATAATAATTATTATTATTAATTAATAATAATAATAATTATTATTATTATTGTTATTATTAAAAACAATAAATAATAGTTATAATAATAATAATTTTATTATTTTATAAATGCTAGCCGATTTTAATAGGCTGCTTATGGTTGAGTTGTACTGGTTCTGAATCTCGTCCAGAAAATCCACTAAATATTTCCAGTTCTTTTGCAACTGTTTGGGAATAAAGTATAATAAAATCGATCATAATAATAATTATAATTATTATTATAGCTATAATATATATTATAATTATATATGTATGTATATATATATATACATATAAATAGATGTGTGTATGTATATATGTATGGAACCGGCAACACTAATTTGACCTGGTTTGCAACCATTCATTCATTCCTTCATTCACCCATTCATTCATAATAATTATTAGTATTATTAATTATAATATAAAAAATATATATATAATTATACCTGCCCAGTTAGCATGTAAACTATGCAGACGGCAAATGCCCACAAATCCACCATGTAATTACTATCATCTGACGTGAAAACTTCTGGTGCTATGTATTCCATACCTTGTTTGGTTAGGTATTTCTTTGCATTCATTCATTCATTTATTCATTCATTTATTCACTCACTCACTTACTCACTCACTCATTCATTCATTCATTCACTCACTCACTTACTCATTCATTCATTCACTTATAAGCTCGATCAACCGATCAGTACCTTCCAAATCGTCACTCGGCACTCCTAGAGATGTAACAATATCGTCGGATCTCTTAATGATGCTTTTCTTCCTACCGAAATCTGAGAGTCTTGGATATCCTATCGAGTCTACTAGAACGTTACAGAGTTTCAGATTCCTTAAAAAAGTTTGAAAGAGGATCGTGTCGGTATTTTGTCGGTTTACGGTAGCCAGTTGTCGGTTTATGGTTGTCAGAAAATAAAATTTGAATGAAATCAATAAGTCATGTCAGTTTTTTTGATTTAAAATAATCAAAAAGTAGAGTTTAATCGAATCAAATGTATGTCTGTCGGTTCTCAGTCGGTATACAACATCAGGAGAATGATTGAATAATTTTTGTGATTTCGAAAAAGAAATATTAAAGAAAAAAAATTAAATGAATTAAAAATGAAAAAAATTGAAATGCCTGTGAATGATATGTTGATCGTGCAGGTAATGGACGGCCAGTAAAATGCCAGCCGAGTAGAACTTGACCTGTGTATATTCGAAGTAGCCCTGGTAGAGAAGTACCATTTCTAGATTACCATAGTCCATGAATTCGCTCACGAAGAAGTAATGCATCTGAATTAAAAAAAAAATGAAGGAAAAATTGTCATAATATATTTACAATAAAAACTATAATTTTGTTTGCGTTAGAACCCGATCCCAGACACAAAAGTGCCAGGCACTTTAACCATTACACTACCACGCCTGATAGTATTAAAATAATACTATAAACACACATTATTATTGTAAAATTACTTAACTGTAATTAACACTTCTCACCTTAGTCTGAAAAATGTCCAAAATATGAACCAGGAACGGTGACTTATTGGCATTGTTGGGCACATATTTTGTCAGGTAACTATCGTCGAATGCTCTTTCCCCATCTGATCCGTGGAAATATCTCTTGTCGAACATTTTTATAGTGCATTTTTTGTTCGTGTCGGTAACTTTCGCGAATAAAACCTTTTAAAATTGAATAAAATTAAATATTATTTATATATTTTTTGATGATTAATTCGAGAGATAGTGATTAATCTGAGAGAGAGAAATGAGTCTTTGGAGGAAAACTGTACTAACTTTGCCGTATTTAGCATCGGAGATTTTTCCAATCATTTGGTAGTTGTCAATGCAGAGGCTGTATATGACGTGTCTAAATTAGTGGTTGTGGAATGGATGGAAGGAGGTGCCCAAGTAGTATTAGAGTTATTATAATTTCATGCATTATTCAGAGCCGAAAAATAATTTATTGATGATTGTACAAATGAAAATGTGAGACTTATCCGTTAGGATGATTTTGAAATGATTAGAATGAGTAGGTACTCACTTTGTAGAATCAATGTTTAAAACGTTCGGGGAAGAACTGATCCCTCTGTCAGCATTCTGCCCCACAATTTCAGGACTCTGCGATACCGAGTTTCGATCCCTCCACCGATTCAGACTTTCGAATAAATCGTTGTCGGTACGCGGTGTCGATAGACTGTCGAATATCGAATCAAATACTCGGTTCGAAAGTAAACTTTGAACTTCGGCCGGTGGTACGTAATCACGATAAAAATCGTCACCCCCGATTAGTTGGTTTCTTTGAAAGGGCTTGAGCTCTTGTTCAAAATTTGTGGATTTAACCATTCGCAAACTTTGACCTCTGCCCATTGTCATTGGGTGTTTGTATTTTTTGTCCCGTCTGTTGGTTTGCAGATTGTAGTGGTCGTAGTAGAAAATTTTCGCGTTGTTCGGACTCGTGTTTTGCTTTCGGCCAGAGAAATCGTCGTCGTCCTCATCCCCTTGCAAGAACGATTGGGTCGACTTCGAACCGTTGAGTTTTGAGTTTTCATCGAATATGATAGCTTCGTGGTCTCGCTTGAACATGATTCTTTTATTTTTGCGTCGCTGGACGTTCGGTTTGTTGTTGATCGCTGTGGAACTCTCTGGAAATGATTGGTCGGCCAGTCGCTGAGTTCCCGAGATGTTGTTTGATGGGTACATCATGTCCCGCTGATCGAATGTCGAGTATCTTATCACCACTTCTTTCTCCCCACATCCCTCTGCCGAATTCGAATGAGCGTCTGTTCGCGAGATAAAATTTTCAAAAGATTTTTCATTCTTCCTAACTGGTGCACGAGCGTTTCCGCTATTCAAATGACTGCCATTGTCTCCGGGCCTATTCATCCACAGCAAACTCAGAAAGCCATTGTTTTCCGGATTGTAATGACAACCTGCAACTTTCTTATTTTTTCCAACTTTCAACTTTTTCGTTCTTTTCGTTTGAGCTGAAGCGGGGATCTTTTTGTTGACTGTGGATTGCTTAGATGAGTTCGTAATTTTGTCTCGTTTCGTCATCGAACACAAACGAAACGGAAAACTTGTTTTTGATTTTGACTGACTCGTGAAATCTTTACCTTGAGATGCGTTTTTGTTGATTGCTGATCTCGGAAGTCGGTAGCTCTCTGAATTGTTGCAGCACAACTCCTGGTGCTCCGACTCGTTCGACTGCTGCCTAGGTTCGGTCGGTTGGAACAACTCCTCTTCACTCGGATTGACGTATATGAAGTTGGGGATTGTTGATTTTGGGAATGATGATGACGTCATATTGGAGTGGAAGTCATGGTGGAGACTGAAGTTGCAGTTGTGAGATTTCAATGGCTGCTTTTCCGTCTGTTTTGTGCAGTTAGAATTCAAAATCAACTTCTCAGGAGAGTTTGACGAGTTTTTGTTTAAAATATTTTGTTGGTTTAGCTTTATTTCAAACTTTTCCGAACAACTTTCGCGGTCATTCAAGCGCCACTTCACGTTTTTTAAATTGTTGTTGGTTGTCTGCGTGTTGTTAATCACGTCCCTCACAATTTTGTGGCGAGTTTGTTGGTCCAATGAGGAATATGTAGTCATGGTCAGTGAGTTGAAATCAGGATTATCACTTTCTAACGTCAAAAAAGGAATGTCAAACTCGGTGGAGTAGTTACGGTGTGGTCTTTGCAAGGCCTGTTTGTATTGTTTGTGCTTCTCTGTGCCTTTACTGATGGAAGATTGTATAGAGGCATCTGATGTGGGAGCGCTGAACGAGTTTTTCGCGTTCTTCAGATGGTTTTTATATCGTTTCGTGTTTGGATGGTGGCTACCGTTTGATTTGAAAGCTCCGCTGCGCAACTCGATATTCGGAAAACCTTTTTCTAGTTTTTCGTAAGTTAAATTTTTTACATCTTCATTGTGGTAGGCATCACCTAGGCCGGTTTTGTATCGAAACCATTTGATCTGCTCTGCTATCGATTCATCGCTGGTTAGCTCAGTACTTTCGAAGAGTGATTTCTTGAACTTTTGATGTCTCATGTTGTCTCGTTGCTTCAAATCAAAGTCTGACCGCTTCTTCTTTATCTTTTTCATTTTCTTTCCATCAAATTGTAGCAATTTTTTGAAAAAATTTTCACCTACAGGTTTATTCAAAGATTGACTTTTGACTGGCGTACATTTAAACATTTTACTCTTCTGCTTTCTACTCTTACGAAACAAACTCTTCAGCCTGTCTATTAAATTCATTTTTCGTTGTTTACCATTAAACACGTCAACAGTCTCGAGGCTGTGTGGACCGCTGAAGACAGTTTTTGAAATTTCCAAATCCCTCTGACTACTGACAAAAACCTGCATCTCAACTTCAGACGGCACCCGCCTAACAAAACTCTGCGAGAATCTTTTTTTGAGTGTGCCACCGTTCACGTAATTTTTCTTCTTCGCCGCTGTCTCGTTAGATTTCTCATACTTGGCTTTTTTATTTTTTATTTTTTTACTAGAAAAATTTGTCGCCGGTGCAGTACTTTTCCCGTCTTCAAATGCAAGCGGCGTCTCGTTATTAGGAGATTTCTTTTTCTTTGCTCTCTTCAGAAACTTGGATGAGATTTTTAAATGATTAAGGTTAAGTTGATCAAAATTTTGATTCGGTAGTGTTGTTATTATATATATTTTTGTGGTGTTCCTACTTTATAATAAAAGTTAATTTTGCAATAGCTTGGTTGCTGGCCGAATAATAAATGAAATAATTATGCTCACTAAGTTGACTTTTTTTCTGAACCGTCCGAACGCTCTTGCCTTGGCTTTCTGATTTTTCATGTCACTGTGTAAACATTATTATTATTATTACTACTACCTACTACTACTACTACTCTTACTACCTACTACTACCACTACTACTACTACTACTACCACACTACCACTACTCCTACTACTACAACTACTACTACTACCACACTACCACTACTCCTACTACTACAACTACTACTACTACCACACTACCACTACTCCTACTACTACAACTACTACTACTACCACACTACCACTACTACTACTACTACAACTACTACTACTACTACTACTACTACTACTACTACTACTACTACTACTACTACTACTACTACTACTACTACTACTACTACTACTACTACTACTACTACTACTACTACTACTACTACTACTACTACTACTACTACTAATACTACTACTACTAATACTACTACTACTAATACTATTACCATTATTATTATATTATTATTAATTATTTCTAAAACAATTGTGTATAATAAAAATAATAAATGTGTATGATAAGAAACAAGTAGTTATAAATACTCCAATAAATATGGAACATTATCTCCGTGTGTTATATCGTTACGAATTAATCAATGAAGAGTAATAGAGAGAGAGGGAGGGAGAGAGAGAGGAGAGAGAGAGAAAGAGAGAGAGAGTGAAAAGACAGAAAAAAGAGACAAAAAGAAAGAGACAAAGAAAGAAAAAGAAAGAATAAAAAAAGAGAGTAAAGAAAGTGAGAGAGCGAGAGAGAAGGGATGAATCTTCCGGTTAAATTTAGAGAACTTTTGAAAAAAAAATTATTTAACATATACGTATATTTATTATATTAAGGTCCACTTGCTTTTTGTGATGTTGTTGATGTTGACTATTTTGCATAACTGGCATGACGTAAATAGCGAATTATGCAGCGCTAAGCTATTTAAATTATTTCTTTTATCTGTCTTCTTATTTGGTGTCGTCATTGTTCTTCCCCCACATCTATGCGGTTTGATAATTGAAAAGATGATGACAATGATAATGATGGCGAGAAGAGTAGGATTGTCAAAAAAAGGAAAAAGTTTTTTATTCTACGTAGATGAAAGTAAGAACTTCTAGAGAAACATCAAGAGTTTTAGAATCAGGTAAGGTAATAGGAGAAATAGTAGTGGAGTGTTTAGATTTATAAAAGCAAATTAATTCAACTGACCGGATTAATTTACACAGAGAATGAAAAAACTCTGAATCAATGTACGCACGAATGAAACGAACAAATGAATGCACGCACGAACAAACTAACGAACGAACGAAAGAATGAATATTGAAAGAACGAATGAATAAATGATAAATAAATAAACACCCGATTGAACGAATAAATAACTTCTGATGAAACACCACATGAAACCCCATACATACATATATATATATATATATATATATATATATATATATATATATAGAGAGAGAGAGAGAGAGAGAGAGAGAGAGAGAGAGAGAAAGAAAGAGGGAGAGAAAAAAAGAGAGAAATACAAAGTTAAAGAGAG